TACACATACATATGCATGTGTGTATATATACATATATGTTAAATATTTGGTACAATTGGAGATGCCACCAAATAAATGTTGCAAAAGTCACTATCTCTGAGCTTCAGCTTCTTTGTCTGCAAAGTAGAATAATTATTATCCCCACTGCACATTGTTGCTGTGGAATTAAAGGACATAATTTACATAAAGTATAAGGCAAATATCTGTGACAATTTGAGTTTCAAAATAAATAATGACAGTAAAAAAATTGGAACAAACTAAGTAAAAATTCACAAGTCCTGTTTATCCCAGAAAAAAAAATGAAGTTGCCTACTCCCTCCCCCCCCAAAAATAATTCATGTGTCCATGCTGATGTAAGTAATTAAGGCACACAAGAAAGTTTTTCCTTATAGTTGAACGCCAAATAGTTGTTGAAGGAATGATTGAATTATAGTGTCACTATTTGGCAACCATAATAATAATATTTGAGTCAGTGAAGAATCATGGATGAATGATTCATCATAGGATATTTGCATAGTCTCAAAGTATTGCTTCAGAAGATACTTATTAATCACAAAGAATAAAATTGTAACTCTATAGTGGAGAAACCCAGAGGCACTAACTCTCACTGGGTCTAATTGACAGTATGTCCCTTCTGTGAGGCTTTGAGAAGAGCCAGTCATATCTTCCGTGGAATTTCTGAAAGAGTGCCTAATCTGAATCTCACTATGAGAAAGAAAACCCAAACTGAGGGATTTTTCTACAAAAGATAACTGGGTTGTTCATTTAAAAAATGCCAATGTCATGAGGCAGAAAGATTTTGGGACTCTCCTAGATGCCCAGAAACATGACAAGTAAATGTAACACAAAAGCATGGGTTTTCTTTGGTTGGAAAGGACATACTAGGGAACAACTGGCAAAATCTAAAATCTAATAAGGCTTATAGATTAGATAATTGTGTTTTGTCAATGTTAATATTATGATTTAGATAATTGCATTGTAGTTTTGGGAAGCATGGTTTTAGGCCAGCTTTAAAGAAATATACGTAAGAATTTAGGCATAAAGCACATCAGCTCTACAGTTTATCTTAAATGGGAAGTGAAAAGGAAGGAAGGAAGGAAGGAAAGAAAGATGCACAGATGGATGGATGGATAGATAGATAGATAGATAGATAGATAGACAGATGGGGTAAATGCTAATATTTGAATTACTGGGGCAAAGGTTGTCCATGAATTCTATATCAACATTAACAAGTTTTCTCTTGTTATGTTTTTTGAAATTATGTTTTTTTGAAAAGTACCCAGCACATACTTAGTAACTGAAAATTGTTATTATTATCATATTAACAGTGTAGGGGAACTCTGATTCTATTTTCTAAAGAGCTAGAAATCGAAAAGAAAATGACTCTAATATGATTTGCTAGAAAGCACTTTTTGGTCTTGCGGCACAAAATAAAACTTTCCACTCACTCACCTCCTGTGATTCACTTCTATTCAGTTCCTCTTGTTATCTATGGCCCTAGGTTTGGGGTCCCTGTGGAATGTGCAGTCTCCTAGGGAATGTAGGCTTTGTAAAGGGCATCCTGCACAACTTGGATGCCAGTGGGGTTCCCCCTGATAACTTAATTTAGGCTTGGATTCCTTAAGAGAATACAGCGTGCCAGACATGGGGTCCACCTCCCAGCCATAGAGAACCCATTCAGGTTAAAGGTTTCATCCAGGCTCTGTCTCTATCAGTTTGGAGAACATAAACATAAGAGTGCTTTTGACAGAACAATGTGCCATACAGTACATCAATCATACATGTGTGCTAGGAAGCCTGTGGCTTTGTGGTTAAGAAGGCAGCATCTGCAGTCAGCCAGCCTGCTTCCAAGTCTCAGGGACACCACTTACCAAATCATTAAACCTCTCTGCCCCTGACTTTCCTCATCTATAAAATGGAGACAATAGCTGTACCACAGAACCAAACTCTTAGGGATGGTGTTCAGGAAATTAGGGCAAATGACAGGTTTTATGTCCAAGCATCTCCAAGCATCTGTTGATATAAAATAATGTTATTGTGATACTATCCCCAAATAATTTAAAATCAGAGTAATTCTATCAAAATGTTGTAATGTCTCTCCTCCTTTACCTTCCCTAGTCAACCTACCTCCTGATCACAATGATCACTGATTGCTTTCAGTGTTGATGGCTGTTTCTCCTGGACTCCTGGGGAGGAGAAACAGTCTCTTCTCCCTTCCTTTCCTCAAAGTTTCAGTTTGCTAGTTGAATCTTGGGACTCTCAAGACTTCCGTGATTCTGAGGCCCACCTAGCAAACATGGCTAAAGATGGAACTCCACTGTTACACCCAGAGCTGTGGAACGTGCTTTTAGCCTCACCTTCTTGCCAGGCACATGAGTCTATGCAAATTCCTCACACGGGGGTAGGGATAGTAGTTGATTTGCTGTGAGAACGGGTAAGACTACACCCAGGATCTCAGAACAGCACTTCCTCCACCAATCTGTCCAAAGTGGCCTTAGCCAAACCCCAGGAAGGAAGCTTAACAGGAATGTGTCATATGAAAGATATTCATGCAGCCTCTTCTCTCCCAAGTTCCACACCCATATTTCTGATTGCCTGTTGGATGTATCCAGCTAGATGATACTTATGCACCTCAGACACAGTGTGTCCAAAAATGACACTTCATCTCTTCCTCTTGTCTTCTTTTTTTGGGGGTGATGTCAAAAGCCAAGTCAGAAACCTCAAAATCCTCTCTCTCCTGCCCTTAGACTATGAGGAGGTTTTATCCATTCCTAATCCAGGATGGCTCAGAACTGATTATTCCTTTTCATGCCCTCACGTGCTGACATGCAGGCCTTTGTAACATCTCACCTGGATGATTTCAGCAGTCTCCTAACTAGTCTCCCTGCCATCAACTCCCCCCACTGTGGGTCATATTAAGACCTAATGTGATCAAGAACATGAAATGTGATACTTGCCTACCATGACAAAGCATGTTTTCACTCCCCCAGTGACTCAAGGTTGGTGGTAAACTCATGTCACCATGCAAGGACCCACCCATTTCTCCAACTTCATCTCATCTGGAGCACCCGCCCTTGCAACTCCCCACTGGTTCGCTGCTCCATGCTCTTCCTTCTTACTGGAGGGTCTTCCCTGTAACTGTACTCTCCTTTTTCCCTCTCTTTCAAAATGGAAGATACCTACTTACCCTGCAAACTCAGCTCAAAAATCACCTCTAGAAAGGGGTCTCCCCGTCTCTTGCTTCTCTGCTCCCAGCACATGTTTCCTGTGTCTTTATAACTTGTGAGCCTTACTTGTGGTTTGTTTCCAGGTTTATATGCTGCACTGTTGACTGCTTATTTCCCATGAGGAAAGCAAGTGTTACCCCTGTGAAGTGGAAATATCCCCCTTGGCTTTAGTGTCACCATCTTGCCCAAGCACTCGTATATGAGTCTATGAAAGGTGGAGCTCAAGATGCCAAATTCACCTTCAACTCAGACATCATTCAGTTGAACTTGTATTCTTGCTTTCTCTGGCTTCCTGAGCTCCTGCCTTCTCAGCAGATCTCTGAAGGGATATGTCTCTGCCATTAAAAAAAAAAAAAAATGTATTCTGTGATGTTTTGAAGCAGGGTTAGGCTGACCCGGGTGCTCACTTAACAGTCTTCACTCTAATTTTTTCCATGTTGAGTTGTGTTGCCAGTTTATGATCATTTCTGCTTTGGAAGGTAACCAGGGTCCTACCAGTATCTGCAATCACACCAAGTGTCCATAGCACCGGTGCCAGGGGGCATCAGAACGCCTCTGGGAATGTGTGCATTCTGGCAGGGGTGGCACATGAGGGTCAGACCCCAGTTTGAGTAGATGGGAGGCTTCTGCATGGGATCTCATTTTTCTCCATCTGCACAGCCATTTGGGGCCCCAGGCTTCGTGACTCACACAGTGGCTATCCATCTGCCCATTTATTCCAAAAATGAGAGAAAAAAATAACCTTAACACACAGTTGGCCCAGAATCAGGCAAGATCTGAGTCATAGTATCACATGTTTTGGAGCCACCTGCCTGACCCATAGAGTTTAGTGGAGATCTGTAAAAATGGGCTTCCTATTATATGCAGATGAATGTTACTTGCATACTACCCTCTACACCCCCCCAAAAAACCAACCTGAAATCCCCACCCTGAGCCAATAATGGGAAAGTTGGGGTTGGCAGATGCTTGTCACTCCTAATGCTGAATCCCCTTTCTGTCCCCTGCAGAGAGATAAACTCTGCTCCATTGTCCTCAGTAGAGGTCTCTGCATCATTGTCGACAGCACTCCCAGCAACAACCCCTCACAATGGGCCAGACCTGGTACTGGAGGTTAAGGTATGTTGCTACCCTAAGGTTAGGATGGAAAGAGGTGGCTGCCGTCTGGGAGTGTCGCCTCCAGAACACTAACTTTTATTTGCTTGTATTTACAATTATTTACTTGGAGGGTAAGGACAAGTGGTAAGGTAATAAACATGCTGGGTACAAGAGGTATAAAAGAGTAAACAGTGAAAATTTCCTTTCCCACTTCAGTTCTCCAGTTCTCCTCCCTAAAGGCAACCAATATCATCAGGCCTTTTTTGTATTTCTCCCTCTCTCCTTTCTCTCTCTCTATGTATGTATATGTGTGTGTGTACATGTATCCATATGTGTAAGTTACACATACACCCCCCCCCAACTGTATTAGTTCACTGTATTAGTTGTCAGTTTGCTGAAGTCTAGAATCTGAGATCAAAATGTTCATAAGATTGGTTCCCTCTCAGGTCTGTGAGAGAAAAACTATGCCATGCCTCTCTCCTGGCTTTGGGGGTTTGCTGACAATATTTGGCATTGCTTGGCTTGTATATGTATCACTCTATCTCTGCCTTTGTGTTTACACGGCACTCTTCCTATGCACGTGCTGTGTCCACATTCCCCCTTCTATAAAGATACCAATCATTTAATCAGGGTCCACTCTCTTGACCTTGTTTTATCTTGATTACCTCCTGTAGAGGCAGGAAGACACGGTGCAGGATCTCTATGATCCGTGCAGAAGGGCAAAGGAGAGTTCTGGAGTCCTCGGTGGCTTTTTCAGGCTTTTATTGAGTTTACCAGGTACACGGCAGGCGGGGGGGGGGGGGGGGGGAGCGGGGGAGGGGAGGGCAGGAGGCTGGCAGACCTCACAGCCTGTGGCGAATCTTCACTCTTCCTGGCCTCTCCAGCGTTCTCTCATGGTCTCTGCTTCTCTTTTGCTGCTGTGCTGGTTCTGCTCTCTTCTGCTGGTTCTCTTTCTCAGCTGGCGTCCCTGTGATGCCGCCCTTATAAGCCAGTCTCAGCCCAGGTGTACCCACCTACGTATGCTCATCTACATAGCCCACACCCCACTCCAGGTGCACGCCATCAGGCATGCATTCAGGACTGCAGGGATCCATCATTAATGCTAATGGCGGGAGGGCAGAAAAGCCTGATAATTACTTACCCTACACTCCATAAAGAACTTATCTCCAAATAAGATCAGTCTGAGGTACTGGGGTAAGGACTTCAAAATATGAATTTTGGGGTGACATAATTCAAGCCATAAAACACAGGCATTTCAGTATATGCTCATTTTTAAACAAATAGAACACTCTGAAGCCTTTTCTAAAACTTGTTTTTCTCTTTAATATCCTTGGGGATATTTCTTTATCAGTATGTAGAGAACTGCCTGTCTCCTTTTTTAAAATAACTACATAAAACTGCATCCTATGGGAGTGTAGTTGTTTATTTAGCCCATCTTCTAGTGATGAGCATTTAAGTTCCTTTCAATAATTAGTTACTACAATTTTTCAATGAATGTGCTTGAACTTACTGTTTTATTTGCAAGTGTAGTCATAACACAGCTTCTTAAAAGTGGAAATGCTTGTTCAAAAGTTACATGCATTTTGACTTCAATATCCAAAAAACTATTCTTCATTGCAGGGAAAAGGGTAGAGGAGATAGGTTTATCAGATTAAGGAATTGCCAATACGGATCTCTATAAGGTTAAAATACAGGTACAGAAAGAGGAAAGGAGTGGAGCTTTCTAAAACTAGCACTGCAGAACTCTGATTGAGATGATACCAAAACATACTTCTCTGAGTCTATTGTAAGACTCTCCTCACTGCTATGTCCAAAGATTCCAGGCCTTCTTGAGCCTAGATCCTGGGTCAGTGCAGCACAGCCAGCAAGAGGACCCAGAGAGTGTGGTGGGCCTGAAGGATGAAGAGTAGAGCTAGCCTCAAATGGAAGAAGATGCTTTGACTGGAGACCAGTGTGAGTGTGGATGCAGTTACCATTAATATTTCCCTTTGGTCTCCTTTCTGGGGAATATATGTTCAGTTGTTGTGGAATGATGAACCTCCAGTTGGACTTTGGTTATCATTCTGATTGGAGGGCTTGAACCTTGCTGAGCCTGAGAGCATCTTAAGTTAACCAGTCAAGCAATAGTACGGCACAGCTTTTTAACATAACTGACAGCTGTAAACTTAAAAACGCTCCCTCAATTTTCCCTTGTATCTGGGAGCCTGATATGTACAAGTTAACTTGATCTTGGTGCTTTGTAGCCCTTTACTCACTGGATCATGGGGTTTTAGAATTGTAAGGGAATCCTTAAGCAATGCCCGTTGTAATTGGAGAGCCTATAATCCAAAGAAGGGAAGTAACCAACACAAGTTTTTTTTTAAACAGGAGCAGTAGAGTCTGGATTATGCATGCATCCATCATCCATCCATCTGTTCATCCATCCTTCCATCCACGTGTATGTGCAGGAGACTCATGCATGTGGAATGTTACTCTGTGGGCACCAGGCACTATGCTAAATCCCGCAATTATAGTTGTCATCAAGACAGAGCCTACCCCTGCTCTCTTAAACCTCACAGTCTTGTACACAAGACAGCCATCAAGAAACATTTGCATAAATAAATATTAACAAAATTGAAACTGTGAGACAGGTGACATTCCTGGTGCTGAGGGTGTGTGAAGATGGTCAGACACTGCTCCAAGGAGGAGTTAACATTTCGTTTGTGGGCCAAAGAAGGCACCATGCCTGAAGAACAGAGCTATGGAGTGGGCCTTTGTCCACGGTCATCCTGTCTGGACCAGCAAAACAGGACGGAAATCATTTCCCTCACAGTTCTCTCTAGACATAACCCATGAATGAGAAGATTTCCTCTGAAGACAGGTAGCTGGCTGCCTTTTGCTGCAGACGCCTAATATAGAGAATTCCCTGGTCCAGGAATAGTTTAGAAGATTCTGTTAGGGAGAATAAATTGTTGGCTGCAGGATCTAACTCCCCTGACTCACATCTGGGAAAAGAGTTAACATACTTTGTCTCTACATCATTGTTAAAGTAGAAAGCAATCAAGTTTGTGTGGATGTGGGGTAACTGTCAAGCAAAACAGCTGCCAGCACTTCAGGCCTGGCTAATGCTTCCCACCTGGCAGATGAGTGGCTTGCTGGCCTCACCCCAACTGGGGCAAGAGCAGGCAAGGAGGGGAGTTTTCCACTTTGCTCTTCAGTCTGACCTTTCTCAGACCCTGTTTAGTGCCAGTCATAATTACATAATTTGTGTATTTCTTGTAAAGTTTATGGTAACTGAGAGCCATTAAAGATGTTAGTACAGGTCTGGATCCCAGGATGTCTGGCATGGAGTCCAAACTTGACTACCGACCAGGTCAGTGATCCAGTGAGTGCCCCTCAGGCCTATGTTTTTAGATCGTGAATATGGCACTGTGGGAAAAGACCTTTATGCAAAATAAATGGACCTTCTGACATCTTTGTTCCACACACTCTAGAGAGATAACCTGTCCTTATTTTACTTTAGCATCATTATCAATTTGATATGATCTCTATTTTACAGATGAAAAAAGTGAGACATCAAGTTATTTGCTCAAAGTCACAAAACTTGTAATAGATGGAGCTGGGATTTGAGCCTGCTCTTTCAGAATTTGGAACTTGCTTATAAACAGTCATCTAGGGCACAATGGCCAAGTAGAAAATAGATCCTATGACACACCACTTTCTCCCCTTTCCACCCCTTCCTTCTCCAAGTTAACTTCTTGTAGCAGCTGCCCAGCAAGACAAAATGAAGAGTGTGGGTAAATGGAGAACGCTGCCTTCTATGTGTATTACAACTAACCAAGGGAAAGTGTGACTAAGGGGAAAGATGTTGTGGGGGAAGGGAAATACTGGGGGATTTTATTGTTCCTCAAACAGTCATCTAACTTTATGAACAGGGAGGGGTTGGTCTAGGGTCTAAATTGTATCCCCCATCATCTTATGTGAAACTAACTGCTGGTGGGCCCCTAATCCTGAGACATCTGTAAACTCATAGGCAGTGACTGTTGTTTTTCAACCACAAAAGCCTATCTTGGAATGACTGACCTTACAATGACATGTGCTACTGTAATGAGGGACCAGGCATTTGGGGAGGTCTCTACTTCTCCAACCCAACTGTTCAGTTATATTTTAGACTAGGACTCAATTCAAGCACCAATATCTGTATCAGCATAAATATAGACCTTTGAGATCCATTGGTGTGGTGGAACCCTTGAGCATGAAAACAGTAGACTGAAAAAAATCCCCACCCATATCCACAAGAACAAGGGAACAGAAATACCCCCAGGTTCTCTAGAGTTTTTATTTCCTCTTCGTGATCTATTTCATGGGCTACCCAGGCACTAAGTTTTTCATTCTTATTGCTTTTCTGAAATAATGCAAGTTGGACCTTCACCAAATGTATTCCCTTCTCCAAATATCAGTTTCTTTTTGATAAATGGAGTAATTAATTGAAGGAGAGTTTCTGTGATCACATGTAGTTCAAAACCTATAGTTCCTCTTCATCTACTGTGTTTCTCAGACCAAGGCAGACATATGGAGTGGGACAGGATATAAAGGGACTGTGGGCTTAGTATGCCCTGTGGCCAGCAGTAAGGATGTGTATGCTCTTAAAGAATTTTAACAACAAAATCAATTAAAATTAGTGTCCTTTTTACTATAAGCTGGAAATTCTAAGCAAGGTGAATAATAATCCTCCCTCCCACAGGGTATTGTTTATTCCACTGTATTTTAGTGTGCCACTGAAGTCTCTCTTCTGATTGCTAGGAGCAGAAACCCAACTCAGAATGTGAGCAGTAAGATATTAATTCATATCTGCTAAATTCTTTAATTCCTTTAAGGTTAACCTTTAAATTATTTCCTATTATTCCTAAGTCTCTGGGCCATTTCAATAGAAGTAGTTTGAGGTTATAAAGGAAACTTTAGAAGAAAAGTATTACTATTTGCAGACACTTATCTGTGCACTGATTACCTTTGTGAAGTTAGAATCTGATATATGGGATAGGAGTTATCTCAAGAATTTTTTGCTCATTAACAGATGCAAATATATAATATAAATTTCAACTGAATGTATACTAATAAAATGCTACTTAAAAAGCCTTAATTTTGTATTATGTAAGTCTTTAAATGTAAGACTTTGAAAAAGGATCTGCTGCTAAAAATATGTTAGCCAACCACTGCATTAGTAAAGCTAGTATTACTTAAGTGAACTAGATCCAGTATGAATTATTTTCCTACTCTTTTAAATTGCACAAGTAATGGCCAATAATTGTGGGATGGGGGCAGGGAGAGCTGTGCAGGGAAGTGGGAATTGTAAGGAATTACAACTCCAGAAATTCTAGTCCTTAGAGATGAATATTGCAGGGGAAGCTCCTTCCAGATGTTTCTTTATATATGGTATGTATACATATGTGGGTGTGTTTATGGGGACAGTACAACATAGTGGCTAAAATCACAAGCTCTAGAGTCAGTATGTCTCTTCTCTGCCACTTACCAGTGTGAGGGCAGGAATGACACAGGGCAGGTTCTCTATGACCCAAGTAGACAGGTGAAGGAGGAGGGGAGCGTCCTGGAGCCCTTGGTGGCTTTTGCAGGCTTTTATTGGTATTTACCAGGTACACAGCAGGCAGGGGTGCTAAGGGGCTGGGAGGCCTACTTAGTCTTCACTCTATCTGGGCTCTCCAGCATTTTCTTGGGTTCTTTCTTCTCTGCTCTTCCATTCGTTCTGCTCTCTGCTGGCGTCCCCGTGACGCCACCCTTATAAGCACAGTCTTAGCCCAGGTGAATCCCATCTACATATGCCCACACCCTATTCCAGGTGCCCGCCATCAGGCATGCATTCAGCACCACAGGGTTCCGTCATCTATCCTAATGGCAGGAGGGCAGAAAAGCCTGATACTTTTCACCTTACCCTACAACCAGTTTGGGGATCTTGGGAAAATTCACTTTTCAATCCCTCATTTCTCTCACCCATAAAATGGCAATAATAAAGCACTTGCTCAGTAATATTAATAGTAGTCTATGTTTAATTGCTGGTAGATTTCTCATAGTCGTCATCTGACAGGCAATCCCTCACAAGAAAAAATCCTTCCAAAAGCGCATATAGTCCATTATATTGCAGATTCAGTCATTCGGTATACCTGTTCTTTCATCAAATAGTTCTTTACTGAGAGCTTTGTAGTAGACACCGTGATTATTTCATAAACATCCCTTCCCTTCCTGAATTAGACAACCAGTCATTCAAGATTAGGCAGCTTCTCTTGTCACTGATTGGTTGAGGGGTGGGCGGGGTCAGCTATTTTGGGCCAATAAGAGGCGAGAACTGCGCTCTTCAAGCCCTCTGGGCGCCTGGGCGCCATCTTATAGCCCGAGGGAAAGTGAGCGCGTCCTGCCGTGAGTCCGAGGTCTGCAGAGCGGAGTCGCTAGAACTGGTTTTCGAGCCTCAATTTCTGTCTCTTAGAGGTACAACTTTTCTTGTATATATTGCTTAAACTGGCTTTAGTTGTGGTTTTAGCACTTGGCCGCCCAGTTTTTGAGGTATCGGCCCAGGTGTGTGGCGCGTGAGCGTCGGCCAGGTGAGGCGCGCGTTCAGTTTGCTACACCTGCGTCTGCTCCAGGCTGCTCTTCGCACTGCCCCCCAAACCCCCCATGCTTGATGTTAGGCTCTATGAGGTCACGGACACCCCCTAATTTATTTTGGGTTGCCCTCGGCCTGTCTGGACACGGGCTGGAAAAAGTGCCGTAGACGAGGGGAACCGTTGTGGGACGTTGTGTGCTTCCTTCTGAAATCACTGGAGGGTTAGGGAAAGGGCTTGCATTGTTGAGTAGCCGCTGTCTGTGCCAGGTGTTTCACACAAACGCCATTCACTTCCTCCCTGCAGCAGCCCAGAGAGCCGGACTCAGGTAATTCCATGTTTGATGAAGAGTCTGAAGCTTAGACCATTTATCCGGGGACACACAACTAGTTAGTCCTGGGACTGGGGTCCTGCTCTTTTCACACTACTCAGTTATAATAGGGCACTGTAGTGCTGCTGTTAAGTAGGACCTTCATTAGGGAAGAGTGGGTGATTGCCCTAAACCAGAATACCTTTTCTCTGCAGGTATGAGCTGTTAATCAATTAGGGTTTGTCCTCTGCTCTCTCCTGTGTTTATATTTTCTTCTCATGGGAGGTACATAGTAAAGCCAGCTTGTCCATAGAACATGAGGATAAATGATTTCATCTTAACCCTTTACCATGCAGTCAAGAGAATTATCAGTCCCTTCCTGTGGGCAGCCTGGCTAATAAAAGTATTTAATTTATCCCACCTCATCCTTTGCCCAAGATACAAAATGGTGGTAGGTTTTTATCATGTTTCCGCATGCTTATTTATTCTTGGGAGAGTGACTGTAAAGTCAGGGAAACTTAAGAATGGAGTTTGAAAAATTCACCTGAAACTTAACTTCCTCAATTATTTTAAAAGTGAATATATAAAGTAGACAACATTTTATTGAATACCTTCTTTACAGTGGCCTGGTGGTTTTCTTCAAACATTAAAGCATATTACTGACTCTGGTTTTCTTCAGATTCTGGTTTCCTTCAAACATTGATTTAAAGAATATTACTGATCAAAAGCTAATCATTGCTAAGCTGGGAAGCGGGGGTGGGTGCTAGCAGGTATGTGATTGACACAAATGTCTGCCTTGGCTCTGAAATGCATGTATCTGTGGTGCTGCAAGTTTGCTTTTATTGTGTGGTGACCATAAAAGCCCTTGTGTTCATTTGATAATTTTGAATTTGAGGTGTAAACTGTAAAGGCATAATTCTTTTTCTTTAAAGATGGAAAACTGTTTTCGTGATTTTAATGTTCACTTACTTAGTTGACACTTTGTTGGCCCTCCTTATAATTGAGAATTTTACCATTCTGCTGAAGTCAGCTGTTTTCCAGACAATTGAACATCATTGGTGATATTATTATTCTTGGCACAGTATTTTTTCCAGCTACCCATAACTGGCAGGTGAAAGGAATAATCCTTTAGGATGTTTCTTGCAATGTTTTATTCCCCTGTTGTAGAAACACAACATTATCTCTTATAAAATAGCTCACTCTATCAGGAAATTTAGCATATTTTGGAAATACTTGTACTCAAGTTAGAATTATTGCTGAAGCTTTCTTCCTGTGATACTGAAGGCCAAAATATGGATTTGAGTAGAGCAAAGGACTGCATGTGAAAAATGTTTTCTCAGCTTTGTACTTAAATATATTTTTTGACAAAGTCTTGGAACATACCAACCACAAAAGAAATTTCAGCAGATCCAGTCTTATCATCTGAGTTCCTCACTGCTTTGTATATGAGACGTGGTTTCATATCAAGTTTCTGGTTCATATCAACATATTTGTGATTTGACAGTGTTTTTGATTTGGTCATAAGAAGGTGTGTCAGAATATTTCAATACCATGTATTAGTATCTACTCTTGTAACAATCTCCCAAATTCCCCTTTTCTCAGCCATTGGCAACCACTAGTCTTTTTTTCCATTTCTGTGGATTTGCCTGTTCCTTGTATTTCATATAAACGGAATCATACAATATGTGGCTGTTTGTGGCTGATATCTTTCATTGAGCATAATGTTCACAAGGTTCATCCATGTTGTGGTATGTAACGGTACCATGTTCCTTTTTCATAACTGAATAATATTCCATTCTGTGGATGTACCACTTTTATTCATTCATTGATGGATGTTTGTGTTTGTTTCCACCTATGGGCTATTTTGAATAATATTGCTGAGCATTTGCATGCAAGTTTTTATATAAACATTTTTTCAGTTCTCATGGCTTTATAACTGGGAATGGAATTGCTGGGACATATAATTCTATGTTTAACTTTTTGAGGAACTGCCACACTATTTTCCAAGGTTGCCCCATTTTACAGTCTCAACAAACAATATATGGAGGGGTTCACACACTTTGTTATAATTATCTTATAATTAAAAAGATGCTGACAGTGTTTTGCTGGTAGAAAGATATCACCACCATATTTTTACATATTCATGGTTAGAAGCCTAGTCAATACAAAATTAGCGTATTTCCCTCAATCTTTGTTTTATCTTTAACCTACTTAAAGTTATTATTAGAATAAGTCTGTTGTATTATTTACAATAACTTAGAGGCTAATCTTTGAAAATTCTTAATTACAACTTTTTTGCCAGCAGTCAGGAGAATTTTGTTTGGCGTTTCAACTACATATGAAAAAACTCATTATTTAAATAAATTTTAAAAATTATTTCCAATGCCTTGACTATATTTCCCTGCCCCAGACTTTTATTAATGTCCCAGACTGTTAGAGAATGTCATTTTAAAAATTGTTAAATGTAGATTTTCAAATACATACAATAGCAAAACTCTGCTTTCAATCACCTTAGCCACTGACTTTGAAGTTATTTCCAAATTATTAACATTATGCATTGAACTCTTCAGTGAGGGTTCTGTCTGCCAAAAAAAAAAAAATGTAATTTTTTCCCTACCTCCTTAATTTTAAATGTGGAGTCAGCCTTCACTTTATATCAATAGGTTCTTAGAAACTGTAACTTTAAGCAAAATGACATAAAATGAAACTAGCTCTTTGAAAAACTTAATTTCGTTCATGTTGGTTGGGATTGTTTTCTCATCTAACAAAACAACATACCCAAGGACCTGCTGTATTAACTATAGAAACAGTGTTTAGCAATTCTAGAGAACTTATTCGTATTTCATAACTGAAAATTTATGCCCATTGATTTGTCAGCTCCGTATTTCCTCTTCCCTTTGCATCTGGCAATCACCATTTCACTTTTTGATTCTATGACTTTGACTCTCTTAGATATCTCATATAAATGGAAAAATATTCCATTGTATGTGTATGGTCTTGAGTGGTTAACATCATGTGTCCGTTGTCTCAGTCTGAGTGACTGTGTAAGTACATTCTGGGATGGAAGGATGTTCTGCCATGGGTTGGTTCCCACCTTGTGCCCTTAACTACCAGGATAGACTCTGGCCACCCTTGACTCTCGACTAGAGTTATTGGGTTGAAAAAATGAATGAGTGAAAACAGATACTTGTTTAATATTAGAAGTGTCTGGAGTTTTTAGTTAAAAATTTGGTGAACTATTGTTTATATTAATTTGCTTACAATCAGATGGTTTCATTGTATGTCCTTTCACATAAAGTTGCAGTATTTAAGGACCTATAGATCAGTGAGCATGTACTGTAGAAGGGCTCCAACACTTGTTATCTTTTTTTTTTTTAATTTTTTTTTTAAAGATTTATTTATTTATACAAGCACTGGGTACAGTCAGAAGCACGGGAGGGTGAGAGAATTCACCAGAGCCAGAGCGGGAAGCAGAGCAGGCAGAGGGACCGAAGTGCACTGCTGAGGGGACCAGCGGGCGGCAGGGGAGGTCTGCGCGCCATGTGGGACCCTCCTCCAGTGGCCGGGGAGCAGCCGGGGATTGAACTGGCGCTGCAGAGGCTGCGGGCAGCTTTGCAACCCAGTGCTCAACTGCTGCGCCACCGGGGAGGCCCAACACTTGTTATCTTTTGACTTTTTAAAAAATTTTTTTTTAAATATTTATTTATTTATACAGGCACTGAGTGCAGTCAGAAGTGCGGGAGGGTGAGAGAATTCACCAGAGCAGGGAACAGAACAGGGAGACTGATGAAATACACTGCTGAGGGGAGTAGCGGGCGTGACAGGAGAGGTCTGTGCACCATGTGGGACCCTTGCTGGCGGCTGGGGATCAAACTGGCGCTGCAGAGACTGCCGGCAGCTTCGCAGCCCAGCGCTTAACCGCTGCTCCATTGGGGGAGGCCCATCTTTTGATTTTTTGAAGAACCATCCTAATTATAAAAATACCCAATTAAATTGTTTTGATTTGTTTCTCCTGTGATTATTGAAGCTGAGCATCTTTTCTTATATTTATTAGCCATTTGTATGTCTTTTGAAAAATGTCTGTTTGGGTCCTTTTCCTATATTGAGTTATTAGGTAGTTTGCTATTGGTGTGTAGGAGTTTCTTACATATTTTAGTCATTAACCTCTAATCAGAGAAATGGCTTGCAAATATTTTCACCCATTCTGTAGGTTACATTTTCAATCTGTTGATGCCTTTGCTGTGTGCAAGAATGTATACAGTCTTGTGTGGTTAATGGCATGTGTCAATTTCTTTCCAGTTTAATACAATCTGATTGTCTATTTTTGCTTGTGTTATCTGCTTTTGGTGTCATATTCATGAAATCATTGCCAATATCAATTTCATGAAGATTTCCCCTATTTTTTTTCTTCTAGGAATTTCATAGTTTTTGGTGTTTAATCCAAATTTTTTTAAAGTGTTTAATCCATATTGAATTGATTTTTATATTTGGTGTAAGGGCTTGATTTTATTTTTTTGGGTATCCAGTTTCCCAGCCATTCGTTGTCCTTTACCCAATATGTTTTCTTGGCAGCCTCA